ATATATATATAAAATTTTGTTCGTTGTTATCGACCTGAAAATACTACATTTAACAGAGAGAAAGAGAAATATATATAAATACTTGGCCTATTATTTCGTATAATTTCGATTTTCAAGGTCACACCAAGATCATTCTCTTAATAATAATCACGAAATAAGAAGAAGAAGAAGAAGAGAGATCAGAAGATTTTGAAATGACCTTGAAAATCATTTAAAAAAAAAAAAAAAAAAATCGACGCTTGGATTTGCGATCGCATTGCGCTCAAGAATCGAAAGACAGAAAAAGATCCAAGGATCATCGATCGAAAGGGATCGAAAGTCTCTCGATCCGATCAACGAAATGAATCGCAAATCACAAAACAAGAGAGCACATTTAACGCGAAAACGATGTATCGATCGAGAACGATATCGTAAATTCGCATAAATTCGATCGTGAACAGAATTATTATTTCAAACCTTCGAGTTTTGGTTTCCAAAAGAATAACACCATAGCTTGTGTACGTGGCAACGAAACGCTGTACAAGGCCACCGTGAAAAAAAGAAAGAAAAAAAAAAGAACGCAGGTACATTTGATACATAGATATACGAAATACGAGCGTACTGGTTGCTCCACCGAGCATTTCGACCGATCGACGAGATGGAAGAACAGTATATATATATATATAGTCAGCGAGCGAGAGCCAGTCGAGGGTTTGGAACACGGCCAGTCAGTCACTTCCTGAACACACCACCGGATGCCTTGAGGAGCCACTCACCTGCAGCCCTGTTACAAGCCTCCTTGGTCTCGTTCAGCTGTTGCCTGTCGCTCGTAATCGCCGTGCTGGCCTTGCACTCGAGCGCCTTCAGAGCGACATCTCGATCGTGATTGGTCAACGAGAACGCGTTGGCGCCACTGTTCCTCGACGCGTCGAGAACGTCTCCAGGCCGTTCCACGATTGGCAACCCTCGCCCCGAGTCCGCCATCGAGCCGCGCTGCTGCTGCTGCTGTTGCTGCTGCTGTTGCTGTTGCTGTTCCTGGAGTAAGCAGGCGCTCGACAACAGGTCCCACTGTCGCAGCTTCTCCCGATCGAGCTCGAACGCCGCGGACGCGGAGATCGAGCGAACCGAGGGAAGGTTGCCTTCCTCTAAAAAATGATCTCTATCCTCGGTGATCGCAGTAGTGTTCGTGGTTGCGGTTGTAGTGGTAGTGGTTGCGTCGATGGTGGTCGCCTTGCGATAGGCCTCGTTCTGCGCGTCCCAAACATAACCCCCCGCGTGAATCCGTTCCATCGACAGGCTCTCGTACGTCAGATCGTCGACCATCTCCTCCTCCTCCTCCTCCTCTTCCCTATCTTCCTCTCGCTGCCCCTTATCTCCCCCTCTCCGTTTCATCACTCGAGGCCTGTCCTCCAGAGGGCAGAAGTTATCCCTTCCTCTCGAGAGAATCACGCTGTCGTTCACGTAGGTGGCGCCACGAGTGATCTTGTTCCTCGCTCCTCCTCCTTTCGAGTCCGAATTTGGCGTCACGGTTGGCTGCTGTCTGGGAGCTTGGTTGTCCAGATTGTCCAACGATCTGGCGTTTCGCAAACTCACTCTTCGAAGGCTCTCCCTCCAGAGGAAATCCTGTTCCCAAGGATCGTCCGCGTTGAAGTTGCTCGTCGAGGAGGAGACTTGGTGACGATTGACGGTCATTTCATTATTATTATTATTGCTCGCGTTCAGAGGAGGTTGCTCGAGCTGGGTCGGTTGAACGGCGGCCACCGCGCGGTTGCTTCTGTTCCGCTGCTCGACCAAGTTCTGAAGTCCGACGTCGTCCAAGAGGCCCTCCAACGATCTCGATCTTCTGTGAGACGTCGTCTGCGACGCGTCCAACGCCTCTCGATTACTCGTGTGCTGCCCGTTCGACTTGTCCCGCAACCCGTGCGGGTACAGG